GAAAATCATTTTTGAGTTAGTCAGCAATTTACAAGTGTTTTTTCTTGAGTTCAATTCATTAGTATGAGAGAGCACAAATGTTAACTGAGACTCTATACCAAGTAAATCTTGACCAATATGAGGCAAAGGTTTAAGGTTTAAAGAAACTTGCAGCATAGCAGTTTTAGGCTACCAGGCAACTAAATGCAAGTATGTCAAGAGTTATGAATGCAAGAAGTAATGCTTTCTCACATGCAATATGTAGAGGGGATGTATTTGTTTTACTATCCTGATTCTTTACAATATAGTTGTTTCTACATAGTTGATACTAACAGCAACTTTGAAAATTTTGAAAACAGGAAAAAAAAAAAAAAGAACCATATTTTACAGTGATGCTCCATACTTCTATTATGCGTTGAGGATCAAATTGCCTCAAAAAATCATATGTCATTCATGACTGAAGATACTCGTAGAAAGAAAGTAAACTAAAAAATAATTAGAATTTACTTCAGAATTTCAAGCAAATATGGATACTTCCCTGCATTGGCACTGAAAAATAACAGTGTAGCTCTATTGAAAGTTTTTGCATGTTATTAAATAGATAGGAATTGGTGAAAATAAATTATGGGAAAGTGAAGAAATTTATTTGTGATTTACATCAAAAGATCTAAGCCCCCAGTTTCCATAAAAACACATCTCCTCTCTCTGTGAGTATTCATGTCAAAAGGCCAAAATGTACAAGAACTCCAGGAAAAGGTAATGATATTATGGGTCAAGGTCACTTCTTGGGAGTTTCTTTCTATGTCCTAATGCCCATATGCTGTTGCTTTTTGATATTACACAAAATGCCCAGTTATACTGTGTTAGATATTCCTTCTTAAGGGAGAGAAAGAAACAGGTGTGTTGTGTCTCACACACATGGCCTATACTAGTAAAGGCAGGCACAAGGAAATGTATCTGCATTTCAAGCAGAAAATAAGCAGGTGTATGATGGTCAGCAATTTTTGGTAAAGTTCTTTCCTGCTTTGCAAATGGATTGGCTCCTGTGAAGTTTCTCTTTTCCCACAGTTTATAATGTAACTCATATAACACTTTTTTTTTTTTCTTTTTTATGTTTAACAAACAGCCAGTAGTGTTAGATTTAGTTCAGAAAACATTCAGAAGGGAGCCATGTTATTTTTAAAGAAGCAGAAATGCTTCATTAATCATACTCATCAAAACTTCCAAAAAATTAAATTCCTTGCAATGGTGAAATTCCCTTCTGTTGACTTGGCAAAGAAGGAATACTTTGAGAGCAGATTTTGTACATCTGCCACATCAGGAAAAACACCTGCTGAAAATTTTCAAGAGTTTCCCAGCACATAACTCTCTAAAATAATATAAGTCAGACTAATCTAGTTTTTTTTTTTTTTTTTTTTTTTTTTTTAATTTATTTTCTTATGCAAAGATTCAATCCATTTAGTATGTCAGTGCATTGCAAGGGAAACTTAACCTGCCCACTTAGTGATCAAAGTGCTGGCTGGAGGAATATCTTCTGAGAAATTCATTATTTTCTTTCTTCCCTTCACCATCTGAAATAACAAAAAGAAATCAGAACAGCATTAAAAGTAAAATATTTAGGGCAACATCTCCTTTGCACATCAGCAGACATTAATACCAGGAGAGCAATTTATATGTCCAAAACTGCTACCAAATCTGCTGATAGCTTTAGTATATTTTCCCCCAAAAAAGTGGTTTGCCTGATCTCCATCTGTTAACTATTTTGAATATCACTGCCCAGAATACTATAGCACCAGGCTCATACAAAGGAATTCCGATGGCATTTATCTTAACAAAACAGGTAGCTGTCAGAAGTTGATCATTTTAAAGTAACACCATCAGTTTGCAGTGTGTGCCTGCCTCTGGTATAATTTTCTAAGTTTCTCTTCTATTGCAGTATTCTATATTTGCACCCCAGTTTTCTGAGTACCAAATAAAAACATGAAATACCTGAGAGCTGACAACTTTATCTAGGTTGGCTGCGGACAAGTCAGTTACAAGAACTGTCAATATTTCAAAGTAATTTAAAATTATCTACAACTCTTTTTATTTGTTGCATGTGCTCTGTTGCTTTCCTGGAGTATGTTTCCTTTGTGGAAGAATACACAGATGCTTATCTGGGGAAGATCAGTGTTTCCCTTGCTTTGGTAAAGGGGCTTTACCAGAAGAGTCCGTAGAAAGGACCTTAGGCCTCATTTTTGAAGGGTTTTGTTTGGTTTGGTTTTACAGGGTGTTAGCTTTTGCTTGGAAAGAAAGAGTAAAGGAGGAACCATGTGCTATATTTTCAGGTTTCTGAATTCTTTCCTTAGCCTCCAGGACTGGAGACCACTTATTTAAAGCTAGAGAGTGCCACCACGTGGCTACAGGTTTTTTAGGCTAGCAGTGACTTTTGGTTCTGGAAAAACTAAAGTGTTATTGAATGGTTTAGGTCCTGCTAAAACCAGCATGAAGCAGGTGTAACTTCTCTGAAGAGGCCAAAATTGCAACAAAACAAAACAAAAAATGATACTCTTACTCTAATAAAATTAATTAAATAAATAAGATGCCCAACATCCAGGAATTCTGTGTGCTAGTTTCTAATCCAGAGAGTGTATGTTATACAGAGGTGTTAAATGCAAGTCCTTCAGAACATAGGTGGTGAAGCTCAACCTTCCTTCACTCCAAGGTGAATTCCTGAGAGGACAAGGTCGAGCTCCCTTTTCACACAGACCCAGAGGGCATGAAGAATTTGGCACATCTTTTTATCTAACTAGAAGAGCTGGAGAGAAGGACCAGACCAAAGCCTGTGTGTGTGTCAGGGAGACCCTTTCCTAGTAATTAAGTATTCTGTACAATGATCGTAGTATGATGTCCTCCCTAGTCCCATTTTCAAAATGAAGGGATGACACTTGACATCTGTACCTGGATGAGAAAACACCACAGTTGTATGCCTGTCTTTGACAAGGTTCTAGGTATGTAGCTGCTCACAGGCACCAGTTCATAGTTTCCTGGAAATAGAAGCTTGTTATTTTTTCATTTCAAGCAGAAATACCTGGTGTGCCAGTAGCCTGCAGAGCTTTTAACAGCCCAGCAGGGCTTTTTGGCTCATTAAAAGAGTATCAAACTTTTTCTGCTGTCTGGCTATATAACTAGCATTGAGTGTAAGCCCACTGAATCTGCATTTGCTTTCTGTGTTTTGTTGTTGTTGTTGTTGTTTTGTTTTTTTCATTTAGGAACCAAACATGCTCTTCCTTGTTGGCTTTTCTAACAAGCATCCTCTGCAGAGGTATGTTTTTTAATCCCTATCTAATAGGCATCCAGATTCCATGCTGTTCTGCCTTTTTGCTTCATTAAGCTTGAAGAATGTTCTGCCAGTCACCTAGCCAAAATTGATCATTTACATAATAGCTGTGGCAAAACAGAGTGTAAGTCTGATTATTTGAGACATTATATAGACTTGCACCAGAAAGCATGCCAGGAGAGATTCATCTCACCCACCTATAGAATTCTGCTTTGTAGCCTGCTGACCATTCTCTGATGCTAAGAGGACCATAGCCACCTAACAGGTGTCTTCCTGAAGGGAAGATGAATCTTACCATTCCTGGTAAGAACACAGGAAAGGGAACACAACTAAATAGCAAAATCCTTTAGTCCAGATTTAGTTCCTCCCAGAATTTGTAAATTCAAACTTTGTTGCTCAAGTGCATTGCATTTGTTACAAGAAAATCATGAAATTATGTTGTACTTTCTAAATGCCAGACATCTAATAGAAATGCAGCTCTTTGAAGTTCCATACCTACAGATCACTTTAACCACATGGAGTAGGAAAACACATTTTTTTGCAGAGCAAGGAGAGAGAATTCAGGTACTGCCTTTTCCAAAGATGGCTAAAGTTTTCATTCTGTTCATCTGGCTTGAAGTCAGCGCCCAAGAAGTGGTGTGCTAGACACAAGCACAATTTAACATTAAAAGGTGAATTAGTAATGAAGTACTGGATTGCTGTGAAAGCAAAAGTCCTGTGGAATCAGGGCAAAAAAAAAAAAAATGAAGTAGCAATGCAAGAAAGAAGATAGGTCTTATAAGAAGAATTGAATCTGTGAATTACAGGTTTGGAAACACAACTTCCCCTCTCGGAATATAAGGAGACTGCCTGTGCTTACAGCAATCAGAACCAGAGAGAGGTTATAAATTTATCTAGACTGAAAGCCAAATGAAATGGAGAGTAGACTGCCAAGCACTGAAAAGTAAGCTATTTTACAGAGAGTTACATCCACAATTTTCCCAGCTCTATGGAGATAATACAAGATTTCTGTTGAGCTTTCAGGTCAAGGCAAGGAAGAGGACATATTTCCAATGCTTATTGAGACAGTATGACACCAGACTGAATGTGTTTATGCCTTTAGTGTAAGATCCCAAGCTACCTGAACATTAAAACTTACAGCTTTAATGCTTGGTTCAAGTCTGATTGCAAGTGTTCGGAAAAAATGAGTGGAATTGCTTTCAGCAGTACACACGCAGGGGTCTGATTCATTGTTCAACATAATGCTTTTTCTTTTTTAAAAGCAAAATTTTGAACTATATTTGGTGAATTACATATATTTACAAGTATACTCTATTCCTTTACTGGAGGAAGTCAACAAATGAATGAAGAATTCACAAGGTCAGGAAGATGGCAAAAGTCAAATGCCCAATTGCATATATGTAAAGTTTCAGAGTCTGCTGTGAATGACAGTTTTAGGAAAGAAAAAAGATTATTGGGCAAAGAACCAAAGCAATGAGAATACATAGCTACACAAACCAGAAAATAAGTTGTTTCTTGCATCTTTCACTTCCCCCAGGTTTGATAATAAAAACAATAGGTAGCTGACCCCCATCCCCACCCCCTGCTGGCTATTGAGTCTGTGTGCACATCTTCCATTGAAGCTTCCATTCTTTCTAAAAGTCTTTTAAAAATATAGCAAACTAAGTTTCTATATAAAATTGTTATAGAGAATGAACAGGCATGATTTCAAATTTTCTCTGAATGTTTTAATTGAAACTTTAACAGACTTTTTTTGTAGATATACACCTTCAGTATATACAGTCTACAATGTCATTTCTCATAAAGCTTTAGTATGCAAATGTTTTGAGGCATAAAGATTTAGAACTACCAAAATTAACAACCTAGTATTTTTGCAACTAACATGAAAGAATGCATTTTTCTGAACATAATGTAAATATATGTAAAATGGCAGGAAATCCTGTAGTAAGTCATTGCAAACAACATTGACAATTCTGAAAAAGGTCAATTAAAAATGTCTTTGAAAAGAGAGAAAGAGAGCCTTCACATGACAAATGAAATCCATGGAACAACATGCATATTACCAGAGACTTCATTTCTGAGCACTGGTTAGTTTTTACAACATACAACATCAGAATTTTAGAGATAATTAGAAGCTCTGAGTTCTGCAGTAGGTTAGTTTGTTGGGAAATGAGGGGTGATTGCTAGGGAACTGGATCAAACCAGTTCTCAAATACTGTATCTAACATGCTTGTGCAAATACTTCTTTGGCATCAATTACAATTAAATAGAGGTAGGTCAAACAAGAACTAGGTCATACAAAGAAAGCCAGTTTGTACGGAGTGTTATTTCTCTATAATGCTTTATTAAATACTTTTCATCACATGTATACATTGATCATTTTCTAATATGCAGCTAGGCAAAAAAAAGATAGCAAAGAAAAAATAATATTAAAAAATAATAAAGGCTGATGGGTTTTGGTTTTAGTTCATGGTCTGATCCTCAGATAACAAGTGCAAGATGTTTTATCATCTTAGATGATAAAATGCAGTCCACTGTCTTGAAAACAGGTAATTTATCTTGGGATGCTGAACTCCTGCTCACAGCACATGCAGTATGAGACACTGAACAGTATGAGACAGGAGCATTCCGCATGCTCCTGCCAAACCTGTGTAATATTTCTCTAACTACTTCTGTAATTGCTAGACTGCATTGTTTCAAAGTTGTTTATAAACTCTTATAACACTGATCAGGAGCTAGATTTATTCTTCTAACATTCAGCTCTGTTGCAAAGGTTCTTGCCTTTTGATAGAAGAAGAGAGACATTTCCCGATCCACAAGAAAGTTATGATAGATTATTGCAAGTCTTGTGTAAATCTTCAATTGAGCTTTTTTATTGCCCAAATCCATGGCAGCAGCGAGTGCCAAATGATAATAGCCTGCTGCATCAAAGGGATCCTGAAATTAAAAAAAAAATAAAAATAGTAGTTCCTTCTCCAGTACAGCTGTCTAAGAGGACATCCAAGCTCAGTTTGTTAGGTAACAAACCAGAAAAATATAGTTTCAGATCTTCTCCCACCTTATTATTTACATTCTAAATGCATAGAAATTTAGCACAATGATGTGAAGAAACATTACTAAGTGTAATCATTTTCCACAGCAGTTTTCAGAAATTCTTACCTTAAGATCATAGAATATTATGTCTCCTAAGTTCAAGTACACCTTGACATAATACAATGTTTCCTCCTCAAACTCCAGGGGAGAGGAACAGAGGGACAAGGCCTTTAAATAAAAGTGTTCAGCTAGTTCACAGTGACCCAAATGATGATGGATGGCAGCCAGACGATGATAAGCTATTCGTTCATTTAGCTGATTTCCTAATGAGATAACGTACAAATCAGGATAAAACCAAAGAAACAAAAGTCAAATTCTTTCAGACCAGAATATATCTATAATATATATATTTTTAAGTTTATTTCTATGCAATGTTTTGTTGATCAAAAATATTTTTGTTTTGATACATGGCCAAGCAATACATGGCAAAACCTGACTTTTTCCTTAAATATCCCAAAGAATTACTGATTTTTTTTGACTGTCGGATTTGACTGTCTCTGGGATTTTCTAAAATAACTGCATTCATACCTTTCATGTATCACACACTGTGCACATTTACAAAGAACATAGATTATTTTGGAAGTTTTCAAAAGGGTAATAGATAATGGGATTACAAACTCCCTTAACCCTCCTAGTGAAAACTTTACATTAGAATTTATATGAAAAAAGATGACTGATCAAAATGATCTGTCTGTGCATGTACAGAGGGACAGGAGCATTCCTAATCATTTGAACAGTTCTCAAAAATGAAGAAAATCACTTCAGAATCTAGCCTTATTGTTTTTAATTACTTTTTCTTAGATCTGTTCACCAGCAAGGCTACAAGCAAATCTGAATAGAGCACATGATACTCATAAGCATCTTGGCACAAAGGTATTGATCAATATTGCAGCTTGGTTGTAAGAAAACACATTAAATTTGGGCGTGGGATCCCACACTTAATTCTCTGCTGTACATTTTCCATATGGATTTAGAGCTTGAAGAGGCAGCAATAACATTGTTCTTTCTTGAACAGAGGCAAAAATAGCAAGGAGAGTATTGTTAGGAATTCCTGTCAGGAAATCTGACAATTTGAAGGACAAAAACATCTTATTTTTAGATTCCTGTCTTAAATTGGAGATATCAGTCATATCCAACTGTAATTGAAACTGGTCTTACCTAAATTTACGCTAAGCATAAGAGATGCTTTTGCATATTCCAGACTTTCCTCGTAAACCTTCAGATTCACCAGCAATTCCACCAGTTTATTATATAATCTGAGTTCTGTGTTTTTGTTGCCAATCTCAACAGCAAGTGGAAGAGCCCTGTCCTGAAATGCACAAGAACAAGTTAGGCATTTATGGACCACAAGATGTGCACTGAAAAACTTCCATTTACATCATGTCAAGCAATGTCTTGTTTTCCTTTGCTCTTTGAATATATCACTTCTTAAACCCAGAAGAAGAGTTGCAACAGGTGAAATCTACTAATAGGATGGCATGAAGTACTCAGTTACAATAGGCTATAATCTTGTTTGCTGAGAGGTTCAAGATTTGTAGAAGTCTGCGACAGAAGGAGGGCATGTAACTATTGATGCTGTAAAAAGAAATAAAAATACACAAAACCTTGTAGAAAGTCACTGCTTTCTCCTTCTCCCATGTACCATTGAAAAATATGTCTCCAGCAGCTTCAAACAATTCCATTGCTAAATTAGGATCTCCTGTATGGAGAGCAGCATCCTGAGCAACCTGAAAACAAGGAATGAGGGAAAAGAAAGAAAAAAAATATTCGTTACATCTTGATTTAAAAAAAATATACAAATACTATCAATTGAAAAAAATGATCTTGTTATGCTCCCTCTTCTTCTTATAATACAGGAAAAACTATACTTCATGAGACCATACTTCGTCTTTTTTTGGTACGCTCTTTTTGAGTAGGCCAGTGGTAGATACTGAAAAAAGAATATAGGAACCAGGGCACATACAGAGTTATGGTCTCCCTTTCTCTGTCAATAATATCCTACTAACTTTGTCAGCGCAAAGCAGAACAACAGGGGGAAAAAAAAAAACACTGTTCTCGATAACTGTAACACTAAATTTAATTGAAATCAAGTTTATCATAGAAATAAGTGATTGGGAGTTAGATATAGCTAACAGCACAGATTTAAAAGCCTGTGAATTCTGTAAATAAATGCTGCTCTACTATCCTGGCTGTTCTAACTAAATGTATGCCACGTTAGCAAAAAATGCTTCATGAGAGGAAGCATACACCCACCCCAAAGAAAATAAGTGATATCAGGATACTCAGTTACTGATTGGATAAGCAGTAATGGGAAAGAGGACTTGCACACAAAGCAGGATGAATCTTGTTTTGGTTTTCAAGTTGCATCAAAATAATACAAGTGCAACTCTCTACTTTGGCTCAAAGGCAGTGCCCCTTTTCAGCCTGTTTTGGCTTTAGGCACCTAAGGACTATTGTTCAACAGTTTTGGAAGTTGTGCTTTACATACAAGTTGAGTTGTGATGACTTGCACAAATTACTAGAACTTTGGTCAACCTTCTAGTGGGGAGACTCCTATTTTAAGATTTTCCTCATGCAAAGGTACTGTGTTCTAAATATCAGATTCCATACATACACATTACGGAACATACATGTACATACATGTCCCTGACCCACCCTTCCTCTTGAAGAAAGTGTAACAGAGAAAACCATCTCACATGCTTATTTACGTTTTGCACTACCAGGTGAATGACAGGCTTGTAAACTATAAGATAAAACCATTTAGTAAAAGAAGAAGAAATAATATGTCTATAGCACAGTTCCTTCCGGTAGATGCATTTATTCAGTCTTACTGGCATGCATTCAAAAAGCTAACAGAAAAATTCATTAAATTAGCCCAACAACATGTCTCAGCACGTTTGAAACGTGAATTTGTTCCTTATGTTTTCCTGCTTCTTTGCACATTTTTTTCAAAACAAAAATAGATGCCAGAATATTTTATTTCACTATCCTTTTTTGTTACCACTCATACACCAACCAAGACTCAGATCTTGCTATGTCAAATTCTGTATATATCGCTGCAAGGCAGCACCCTCCCTTATGATGGGGAGGGTTTTTACACTCTTTACAAAAGCTCTTTACAAAAATTAATTCCCCAGATACTTAAGTGATTGGCTAGACGCTGCACAGATGATTAAAAGACAGGTCTACGCTGCAGTGCAGCTCCAAAAAAGACTCTGGATGATCCAGTTGCAGCAGTCAATGCCTGGATCCCAGTTTCAGGTCATTGTTCAGTCTGTTAGCACAGCAATAGAAGCAGTAGCAGATCCTGCTCAGTTGCAGGGGGTCCAAGCTGTGCAAGTCACCAGCCTGAGTGCTGCAAACGCAGCAGCAGCTCCAGCTGGCCCTGTGCCACACTGTGCACAGACATGGAAGGAATGCTTTAGATGTTCTGGGAATGCTTGCTGAAGAAGCTGCTCTGTTTTCCTGAGGATCTGGCCTACAAGCCAGCACACTATACTAATTATGCTATCCACCAGCATGTAGCACACATAAACAATTCAATTGCTGTGGTGCTGCACAGCTGGTAGACAATTATGTAATAAGATGAAGAGATGCACAGAACACAAAGTTTGCAAGAAAGCAGGCAGTAAAGGTCATGGCACAACATCTTTCCAGAGTCTAGCAACAGGATAAAATGGAACACCACAGGAAGATGCTCAGACTTTCAGCTTATTACATGAATGGTGTTACTATGCATTCAGAACATCAGTTATCAAAATCTCTGGGATTGTTATTACTTATTTACTCTCTTACCATGCCACCTGCACCATGTTGATGACATATGCATGCTTGTCTTGACAACATACCTGAATATAAAGATCCACAAGCTCATTCTGCCTCAGAACATAATATATCTTTCCTGCCCGTAGCCAAGCGTATGCTTCCTTCTCTTTTTTCTGGAGATCTATAAATATTCCAAGGCTTCTTTTGGTATATTCCAGAGCTGATCTGTAAGCCCTGAAATGGGGGAAAACTGCTTATCACTGAATGGCTCTTGAGAATTGTGAATGTTTTTCATTATAATTAGAGAAGTGTTATATTAATGTAAAAGACTATTGGTTCAAATCTGTTTTCTGTTAGATTGTTATCACATGATGTTATTTCAGAGTGATTTATTTAGTTTTATTTAGATGTTTTTTCCCCTACCTCATGCTAGTAACAGGTGGAAAAAATTTTTCCTCACCTTCATCTCTTCTATTACTTGCTTCTTTTTCCTACAAGCCTCAGAAATAAATAGTTTGTAATTTTGTTTTTCTAAATATCATCTAGGCCTTTGATTTATGTACAGTTCAGACTAATCCACCCTTGTACAAAATTCTGGAGTGGGATGGGGGGGGAACATAAATTATGTGGTCACTGGGCAGCACTGGTTGCTGCTTGCAGTGCTTGATATCAGCCACAGAAGCCCCAAATTTCTTTATTAAATCCTTTTCTATCTGTCCTATGGTAGATTTGCATCACCATGACCAGATGCATTTTCCTCCAAGCACAAGGCACAAACATATTAAAATATACCATGAAGTGCACAGTTGTTTTTACAGCAAATGGAAGCAGTTAAAGCAGAATGAATTAGATGGCATATTAGAAAAATTAGATGCTTGAACTTCAGCCACTTTAAGCTAAAATAAGCATCTACTCTCTCCCCACAACTGAGCATATTTTTTCCTATACTGAGGTACGCTTAAAGACATCTGAATCTAAACTGACTCCCCAAGTGAGATATAGTAAGAAAAAATTCAGACAGAAACACTTCTGCTGTTGTTGTTATGAGAACCCCTTAAGTTTCTCAAGCACCTGTTAATTACTATGGAGCTGTGCAGTCTATATTTTCTTTAATGATAAACAAAAAAATGGTATTATAAGAACAATAACAGGGTAGAAAATTCTGTAGACTGACACTGTGCAGTACTGCACATAGGTTTTCTGATTATATAAATTTTGAAAAACATTTCCTCAAAGAGAAACACTTACATAGAGACAATCTGATATCCCACTTGGAATATTCCATTCAATTTCCAATGGAAAAATTGTCATGGAAAATTTATCGCAAACAAGTCACCTACCAGCAAGAATCCTTGTGATGTCGCAGTCAAGTGTTGCATAGCATACAATTTTTTCAAACCATTTACTTACATTTTAAAAATACTTTGGCTCTTGAAGTGGTGCTAATCCCTGTTGAACATCTTGTCTCCCTTGAGAGATGATAGTTACTTAAAAAAGCAAATCAGAAGTCTTCACTATCACTGGACCCACTTCAATTATAATAAAGTGTGTTGGCAAAGCAGAGGGAAAAAAATCAGTCACAGTCAACTGCTGCAAAAATTGAGATCCTTTAGCATGACAGAAGAGTTAAAATCAGGATAAAAGAAAAGTCATTCAGCATGTCTTACCTTTCTGTTCCTAAAGACAAGTAGAGCTGACTAATGGTTTCCAAAATTTGTCCCTCCAGAACTTTATTGGACATCTTTCTAGCTAAAGATAGTTGATATTCATTGTAGATGACACACTGAGCCTCATTGGGAACAACCGTACTGTAGAACTGACACAGCAGTTTAATTGCTTGAAGCTGACCTAGGGGAATAGATATGAAATACTGCCATGAATTTCTATTTTAAAATGAAAGTTAAATTAGTTTTAAAATAGTTCATTCCTACTGTTTCATAAGCTCAGCAGTCAGTGAATAATATAGAAGTCATGACAAGAAGATTCCACCACAAGCTTCTTCACCCTCAACAAAATTAAGCAAGGCTAGAGGTTATTTAAAACTTGGTTTCTGGAAAAAGTGATAAAACAGTCACCTTACCTGCATAAACTGCCTAAATCAGCAAACATAAATATAGCATGGTTCTTCTAAATCCAGCTATTTTATGCAAAATTAATCCAGAGTACCCATTGTTTTCACATTTATATTTGAGTCTTGTGATGTTTGTACAGCCAATAATATCATAGCTATTATAAATATTATTGAACATCGACATTATACATAGTATTGACAAAAGAATTGTTTCGTAATGCTTACAACTTCTCCATCATTTCTGGGCTGAGAAGTACCAGAAGTACAAATAAAGAAGTATTTATATTCTCCACCATTATGGAATGGTGGTGATTTTCATCACAGATGTCACATAACTAAACATAAAATGTTAAAGAAAAAAATGTATGTCCATATAACAAACATTTCCAAACAGGGTACATTTCATAACTTCAAGAGAAAAACAAACAAAAAACTTACTTTCCAGATGACTTGTCTCCATTGCAACTAAAAATGCCCATTCATAATAAAACCTTCCCTTTTCTCTCTGCCTTCCACTAACGTAGTAACATCCCAGTTGAAGGAGGACTTGGATAAACTCTTGGCCACAGTCCATGCTTGAAAGTTTGGAGAATAGCTTCACTGCCTTGATATAATAATGTTCTGCCAGCTTATTGGCTGCTGCATGCAGGCAGAGCGCCCCAAAATTAGCCAGAGCTATAGCTTGGTTATGGGTCATATTTGCCTCTTCAGAAAGCTGTAGAGCTTTATAACAGCTTTCAGCAGCTTCCTTTGTGTTGTTTGTTCTTTTCAAAGCAATAGCAAGCATATTATAAGCAACACCTAGTTGTTGAGGATTGCTCTGTGAGGAGTCTACAACAGTATTTAAAATGGTTACTGCCACATCATATTGCCTGTAAAGAATGTATAACCAAGCAAGTGAAACCAAATAGTTAATAGTTTCCTCTGGCTTCACAGATGTATCAGAGTCCAGTGCTTTCATCATGTAAACAATGGCTTTTCCATACTGTTTGTGGTGGCTGTACAGTTTTGCTAAGCTGAGATAGATGGTGCTGCACAGTCCTTGTCGCTCATTTGTAAATGCAGAGGAAAGAGCTTGTATCAGGTAAGGTGCAATTTGGGCTGGAAGTATTTGTCTGAGTTTTCTCAAGCCATAGAGCTTCGGAGCATTTTTGATGACTAAATCAATCCTTTTCAAGGAATCCATTAAAGTACTTGAGCTCTGGGAAGCGGAGACTTTTATGCAACTTAACACAATGTGTGGCAAACACTTCTCATTGTAGGACTCTGCTAGTTTGAAATAACAGTTGTTGGATAAGTTGTTTTGTAAACCCAAATCATTAAGCAACAATTGCAGCCTTTCTAAGAAGGGCAGTGCCTCTTCATGCTGTTTGCGTGCAGTGTAGTGTTTTGCCAGTAGAAAGCATGCCCTTGCCTCCGCATGTTTGTTCTGGCTCAAAATTGTCCTCTTCAGAGCATACTTCAGAATATCTGACTCAAGGTCAGCACTGCAAATGTAGTTGGGAATTCCCATGAGAAGAGATGCAGCCTTGTCAAAAATATGAGCACATTTTTCTTTGTTCTTCTGTGTCAAGTAGATGACTGCTAGATTTGTGTAAAGAGCAATTACGAAGTACAAATCACTAAACCCACCAGTTACTGCCCCCAATGCTTCTTCAAAATAAACCCGTGCTTGAGAAAACTTCACTTTTTTAAAACTTAGCCTGCCTAGTAGAAAGCATAGCCTCGCTAGTGCCCAGGACATACCTGCTTTCTTTGCTAACTCCCTTGCTATGCTAAAAAAGCTAACCAGTTCATCTTCTTCTGAAAAGCCATAAAACATGCTATTAATAAACGGATAAGAGAAATCATACAGGTTTTTGAAATCTCTCTCATACTCTTCCGTATTTAAGAAGAGTAGCAATGACTCAAAGACATCAGATGCTTGACCATCATCTTGATAGATGTAGAAGCAAGGTCCTGCAGGTGGAGGAAAGATTTCCTGATTTGGAGACCTGGCAGAATCCTTTCCTTCAGTAGCTGGCCCTTCTGCCCGTGTGACCTCCAAATTCTTGAAGTTCTTTAAGAATTCTTCTATCTTGCCATTCTTGCTACTGTATACCATGTTAGAGTGTGAACATGGAATTTCTGCAAATCAAAAATAATTCACAGGTCAAAGTTTCATGTGTGCGTGTACACAACGATCTTTCAGACCAACAGAAACATTTATCAGTAGAGGATGTTGTTAGGAAACACTATATAAACATACTGCTTTCTGAACAATATGTTTAGGAGACAAACCAAAGGTGGGGAGAAGAGAACAAGATGGGTCAGGGAGGAACAAACATGGGAAATGAAGAATGGGGATAAAAGGACTTGCCACACCTAATCACACTTCTGATTATTACAATTATCTCACCTGTTCCTGATCACCAAAGTCTGTTCCATCCTATTTAACTAATACAAACTTTTTTTGTGTTTGAGTGTATACTCAAAGTACACTTTGAGTGTATATGAAAGCAAGAGTAAGTACTACCAAGGAATTACAATTCAGACTACCTGGTAAGCTGGAGACCACCAGAATCTGGAAAAAAACAGGGTCTATAGTGGAGACTGAATAAAGGGCCTAAGGTCTGGGCATGGATATGGGATAGATTTAAGGTTTGAAGGAACCATAAATTTGAGCATTTGAGTTGAGTAAGGGTAAGCCTAAATTCTGCTAGAAAACTAAGGTAGATTAGCCAGGGATGGTGAGATGGAGCTATTTGTGTTGTTAAAGTCTGAAGTGGGCGCCTGTGAAAGTACTGTACTCTTGCCCACATTATCTCCACGTGGACAGCCATGCCTGTATAACAGGTGTAATAAGATTCCGTTGTCAGATACCAACCCTGCTTCTCTGCTGGTGCAGATCATCTTTTCTAGAATTACAAAGTTTGTGGTTGTCATTGTGGTCACTGATCTAAATTCTTCTAGAGCTATCACTACTGAATATATTATAAACACAAACAAGACAGACATGCTATCATTTTTCAGTTCTCCCACTGTTATCAGGTTACATTCATAGTCAGTGTAAAGCTTACAGCTGAGTGTATCAACAGGAGTTTATTGACCTTGCAAATTTGAAGAGCTGTTTCCTTAGAACTCCATTTATGAAAGTGTTCAGCAGAACCATAAACATAAAATCAATATTTAGAAAAATGTTAGTACAATGGAAGTAATGGCAGTAACAGTTTAGTAGCTAAATTCCAGCGGGAAATAATTCTGCATTCTCAAAGTAACTCCTTTAGGGAATATATTTATGGGATGTTTTCTAGCAGACTGAAGATCTACTAAAATTCAAATTGGGCACTTGCCAGGTGTCCCATAAAAAGTACTTTGACTTCTTAAACAAAATAATGTGTGGTCAAATCAGTAAAATAAGTCGTACTTTGCAATAGGATAGCAATGTCTGAGAAAGGCATCTGATATTTGTGAAAGATACATCTTACAGCAAAACCTAATGATAAGGTAGAGAAGCAATGAGAGAAAGTCAGAATGTGAAAAGACATCAGAAAGACAAAAGCAAAAAGATTAGAAGCTACATTAGTTTTAATAAATACAAATATTTTAATAAATAAAAATTTGTATGCATATTTATTACCACATTCATGAGTTTTCTGAAATTCCTGTTCTTCTAACTGGTCTGTAAGAAAGAAAAAGTCATGTTAGCTATGGTATCTTACAACTTTTTTTTTTTCCAGTTCCATAGGGTAGAAAAATTGGATGTTCCTTGTAAATTTAGAAAAGATTAATTTCCTAAATCTGACCCAAAGATCTATATTTAAATGTCTAACATAGCACATCTGTAGAACATAAAAGAATTACTTTTTTATGTAGAAGATATTTCTCAGGATATGCTAGTTGCCATACTGATTATTTTCATTGTCTTGCACAGCCTGTGGTGGCATAAGAAATTGGTGCTCCTGGTCAGTTTAGCAAGACAATTAATTATATTGACTACCTTAGACGAAGTCTCTAGAGAGGAAACCCCGATTGCCCCAATTACTTCAAATGAAGCATAAACACTTCAAGAGATAACAGCTGTATTAGAGATGATGTAGCTACAAGTAAATTATTTCTTTGTATTAATAGATTTTGCTATGCCTTTGATAGTTAAATGAAACATGAAGAGGTGTGTGTTTACATTACCTGTCAATAATTATTATGCCACATTTCATAACAAAAATGCAAAGCAGATAACATTTAGTTTTTTCTAATGCAGCACTCTGATGTTTGAATGCTTAATGATCTGTTCAGTTCAATAGCAGTATTTGAAAGTCCTGATGTTTAATTCACTCAAAAATGGACAAAAGAGGATTTCTAAATGCTCTGTTGGGAGAAGTTTTGCATCAGCAGGAAAATAGCAAAGATTATCTAAACGATGTATCTGTGATCAAACTGAATACCAATATATTTCAAAGTAGCTACAAAGTCTAGAATATCATTAAAATAGAAAAAAACTCACTTATGACAAGGATATACGAAAAACACATGCATCTTAGGCAGCAAAAAGAAGTAAAACTTGTACTTACCTATTCTATACACAGAGCAAACATCTGTGATTGAGGTTTGCTTCAACAAATGTACCACTTCTTCTAATTGTTTTTCTTTTGAAAAACAAGACAGCTCTTCTGCTTTAAGGAAATCCAGGTCTTGTACTCTAACAAAGAAATAAGCAACTTAGAAGGTGTCTCAAAGCAGATTTGGCTTGAGAAGCTCAATGAAATTTGAATGCCTCACTAAGTTTGAACTTGTTAAGAGAAACCAATACAGGCTTCACATTACAGGTCCTGTTGTGTTCAAAATTAGTATCAGTCATCATATTTACAACCGTATACACAGACTAATGATACCTAATGATGCTTGCAAGCTAACAGTTTCTGCCGTATCATTTCTACCATTTTGTCAATCTATATCACTGTATAGCATTTTATGAGAGAATTTATTAAAAACACAAATATTTAAGGACATTATGGTATTGATGTTCTAAGCTCAGTGTTACATATCAAATGAAACTATAAGCAACATCTAAGAACTCCTCATTTCAGCATGCATGCAATACAGACATAAGAGCAACCTATTTACATGGCACCAATGCATTCTGAAATACACATTTTTACAGGTTTCTTCTTGCACTATAAACAATTATTCATAAATGAACCTCATATGAAGCAAGTTAAGGCCTATGGTGATGGTAGTAGCAAAATCAGAAGTTGGATACTTTAATAAAGATCCTGACACCAGTAAAAATTGAATCTTCTGAAACAGTAAAAATTCTAGGATTAGATGATCCAAAGAATAGACATTGAACCAGATATAGGCAACTACAGCAACCCCTTTTCCCAGTAAGAAACTCAGGTACAATGTGATATTGCTTCCCAATATCTAAGCTTATTTCATATTTCTCTGTGTTAGTTCTGACTGATACACACTATGGCAATTTTTATCAACAGAACACACAAAACCAAACCAAAAAACTGCAAACTTAAGTTTAAAGTTCAGTATTTTAAAGCTCAAGAGACTCTTCCTAAGCCTCTTTTGGTTTCCAAGTTAAATACGTAACACCTACGTATTTCCAGGTAAGTCCAGTTTAACAGAATTCGTCTTTACAAAACCTATTTGGCCAGTAAGTAGATGTCTTCCAACAAACCATTCCATGCATTCAACGAGGTAACCAAGGATCTCAATTTCATCTCCTTCCTGGAAACTAATCTCTTCAGGCACGGTACTTTCATAATTCATCACAGCTAGACAGGATCCTGTTGCTGTGTAATAGAGATAAATATTATTTGCAGATACAGTAGTTTAACAATACATTTAGTAGACTAGCAACTCAGCAGAGAAATGTATTTAGGAAAAATATTCCTGGAACCCTGGAATATTTTTCTGGAAACCTGTACAACCTGAGTTGTACAACCAATGCAACAAGATTCAAAACATCTGTATGGAATCAGTTTGGTTTGAGCAATTAAAACTGTAAATAACGGCATTAAAATCTATACTAGTCTTTTCCCAGCCACTAGAAAGCAAAATCTAAAACCTTTTCAAAAATCTGAAAAAAGTGACAAAAAGGAATTGCTTTAAGTCCCTCGTTTCTGTCTTTTGTGCTGCCAGGCCACAGCACAAGCATTTGAACCAATTTATAAAATCTTTATTAAGTAAATAAGCAGTTATATACCAGTCCATACAGTATTGAAACTGACACGTATGGTAGAAAATAAGCCATGTTTACTCTCTAACCTGAGCCCGTCTGTATGAGTGTTATTTTTCTGTCAGCATTAGCTAAATCAATACACATGTGAAAGATCCACAAAAATTACATTGGTGTGTACACCTATTTAAAGTTTATCATCAAATCTACAGAGGCATCAAATTAATTACTTTGTATATCTACTTAACACAACATATAGGAGACAAAAAAAAGGAGACAAGCCTAAGAGTTTAACTCAAATTAGATACGTCTAGCCATTTATTTTGTAAAACCCCTTTGTCATAGGCAGAGATTTATGCTTTCACTAATTTTACAGCAATGCAATTTTAAAAGCTGTTTTCTCATCCTAATACAATAAAAAGAAATATTGAACCCTTCAGAGTCTGTCCTAGTGAAATCATAGAATAAGTTTGTTTTGTTTTGTTTTTCACATGTTGAGACTTGAATGGAATTTCTTACCAACTTGCCCGATGGATTTACATTCAGTTTTGTATGTAAAATCAACAGGATCAGAATACACCTTAAGAAACCATCTTTAAGTAGAAAAAGAAATTGTAGTTAGCGCATTAAACACTTTATTAAATCTTGTGACAGTAACAGTTTTGGTTTTAAATGCATTTAAAACCAAAAAGATGTACCGCTCCCAACAAGTATCTTTCAATTTCAACACTGACTAAACTTCAGATACAGCTATATTTTGAGCAATGTTTGCACTGAAAGAAATGTTACCTCAGTTCCTCTAGCAACCTAGCAGAAAAAGCCCTGCTAATTCTCCCTGCCCAAGATCCACGGAAAAATTACAGCTTTTGAACTACTGAGAACACCAAGAATTAATAATTTTTGATTATTCCTAAAATAGGGAGTAGATTAAGCCCACTGATAAAATTTCAGCTTTCTAGCAATTACGAGATTGGATATGAACTTGAAAGAAACTGCATTATAACTGCGGATGGCTTCTGCTAATAACATTGAGTAAAAACACTGCTGTCTTGTCCTCATCACATTTCCAAGCATCCCACCTGTTACCATCCATATTTCCAAGCATCCTGAAAGATGAGAATTGTCAATTTAAATGATTTTAGAAATACTAAGAGCTTATATTTCATATTCAGGAAAAAAAAAAAAAGCAGTATCTAATTTACAAGATGGTAAACCATCTTCTTCAAAAGCTGCATTTCAGGCATTGGAATTAATTTCAATTACTTGGTATGGAAGGAAATAGAGCATTTGTTCTCAGTGTTAATAGAAGATGGATGTTCCATAAGAAACCACCATTTAGATGGACCTTTCTCTAATCAGATACATACGCATGAAACAGATGCATATACATGTAAAAGAGGTAGTTAGGGTCAGGTACCTACTGATGAAAAGGGATCAGTGGCTCCAGAGAAATGTTAGACAGCATGGTCATGTCACCATCCACAGATCCATCTGTTACATCTTCAGTAAAAGCTGCAGTCTCAAAATAAGTGTTCGTTTCGCAGTCTGTAGCCGTTATCTTTGTTACCAGATTGTCAGGATGTAAAACAAAAAATGCCCCTAAAAAGAATGCAGTGTAGCAGATGCCATTTTATGTAATTTTTTAATGCCATACAAGCTTTAAAATTCTCTTCAAGAGCATCTGTAACGTCCAATTAGAGATAGAAAATAATTGTGAAATCTCAAATTATCGTTCTCATTATTTATCAGATTTTCATACATTTTTGTCTAGTTTCTATATCAGTAAAATGACGTTCTGTGAAGTGTAGAACCCTCTTCTGCATTATTTTGCAGCAGATTACCTGTATATGTGTGTCTATATTCCCTGCAGAACACAAGAAACATTCCTATTGCATTGGTCAACGAGCTAGCTAGTCCAGCATTCTGTCTCTGACAGTGGCAGCAGATGATACTGTTTAAGAGAAGCACATAAGCCTGGCAACTATTTGTAATCCCTTTTACAACTCCAGGATCTGCAGTAATATTAACCAAGTTGGAACACACACCCCTATCTAATCCTTTTGGTATCCATTTGTGGAGCAGTTGCACTTGAATTTATCTGATCCCCCTTTGATTCTACTGAACTCTTTCTGAGCTGCTCCTTTCTCTTCTCTTTTTGGTACACTTGGATTTAACAGATATAAATTTCAACTTAACTAAGTATTTGAGTAGATCTTAAGATTTACTTTTAAGGATTTTAAGAAACAGCTTTAAAGAAAGGCACTTCTCTAAATTTATCCTTAGTGCATATAGTCTTCCTTACCTTCTTGTACTAGTAGACTTCTGTACATCATCTTCAATGATTTTTCATTTACACACACTTCAATGCCTGTTTCCTCCTCCTCTTGAGAACAGAGCCAGAAGGACTGATCTAGGAATAAGTTCTCCATGCAATGATTTATAAAACCTATGAGAGGAAAAAAAAAAAAAAATTGTTTTCTTTGCAGTGTTACTATATTTTAAAGAAAATAACTTTCAGAAAATCATAAACTGGGGTATGCATTCTGATAGCTCCATTATTGCTTAACCCATAGTGTTGTTATTTAACCCATTGTTACCAAGCGAAATTACATCCATTAAGTCACATGCATTACAGCAACTTTTGGTGCTTAGCTATCACAAGCTACACCTCAAAGGTGCAGAAGTTCTTTGCCTCTAACATTGCTGAAAAAGCAGACCGTGTCCTCACATTACAAGGGTTCCACGTGGTTTAGCTGTATTTCAAAGGTTTTCACTAGCAAGCTTTGCATAACAGCTTCTTCGCATCCTGTAATAACAGGTGACTAGAAACAATCTCTTCATAAACTTCTGTTGCCTATATCAGCTATGTCGATTTAAGTAGATACTGTGCCTGGGTATCAAATTCCTGAAATTTCTTTGAGACAGAGATGATACTGCACATTAGAGTTAAGTAAGCCACAAGACAGTGCTTTATTTTGGAAACTGGGACTCCTTACATTAGGATTTACAGCTTTCAAAGCCGTATCATGGTTACAGGAACATCTGAGTTGGTGTAGTATGGTATAGTATGGTAGTAGTGTATAGTATGTTATAGATGGTAGATTATTACTTCAGGGACCAAGATTAGAACATTAGTTGATCCTTTGAGTATGCAGTTACAGTGGAGAGGAAGGGGTGGACAGATCAGTGATCAAGGTGCTACTCTGCAGTTTGGAAGATGCTAATTGATTTCCTTTCAGCCAGTCTCACATAAGAAGCTTCATCTTTTTGTGCTTTCTCTGTGAATTTGAATAAGAAAGGTATTTTCTCTATTTCACTAAGGAATGTCTTAAAATACAAAATGACAAATAAATAACAACAAAAAATAAAAGTAATATTAAATGTCTGATGAAAACAGACAAACTCAATGTAGTAGTGCACACAAGGTTCTCCATACACATAAGAAAAATATAATCAAGTGAACAAAATTAAAAGACAAAATCTGATTCAAACACTATTCTTCAGAAAAGACCTGTGAAGTTATAGGTTATTAAAAATGGAACTCAAATCAACAGCACCACACTGCTACAAAATGTATGCTCAGATTTAGAAACAGGACCAAAGCATGCAAATATGTTTTACTTGGTACTTCATCTGAAGCCTTACCAACTTGGTCCAGTTTGCTCATTACTACTCAGGAAAGATGTGGGCCAACTAGAGGAGTCCAGTGGGGAACATGATCAGAGTTCTAGAAAATACACTTTGTGAAGAAGGATTAAAGAAATTAGGGTGGTTTTTCCTAAAAAAATCAACACTGAGGGGAAGTGTGAGTTAGAAGTCTTCACTTAGGTCTGAGCCTGGTGCAAGGAAAGAATTATAAGTTCTCCATATCTATGGTGAGCAGAAAAAGCTGTGAAAGTATTTAAGCAGCAGCACGGATTAGACAATACAGCACAAACACTTGGATCAGAATAAAGTGTTTGTAAAGAAAGCATGATCGGATGCTGGGGTATTTAGACTAAACACCATCCAGTAATGATAGCTGTTACCTGCTTTGGTACAAATGCAGGTTCTCCTGGAGGTGGGGGATGTCTCTCCAGCCCTATCACCAGTACTATGGTCAAGTACGTTATTTACTGCTTTTAGGAGTTATCACATTGAAAACGTCAAGATCGCATTCAACATATTCCCAGTCAATCAGAAATTATATGCAGAGGAATAAAAAAATCATATTGTACTGCCGTATGGTAAAAGAGCTTTACCCAGTGAGTGATAAGTTAGAAACTTCCATATTTCTTCAAAAGTTTTAAATGTCACCACTATTAGATCTTGATCACTGTGAATTGAGAGCAATCTAGCAGAGAGCTCCTAAAAAAAATAAAAAACAATATTTTAATTACAATTTTGCCAGGTTCAAGCAAAATTTCTCACTAGTTAACACTTATCCTAAAACACTATGTACTAAGAAGTGCAAAAAAAAAATCATCCAGGATTTTGCCTATATTAGATACCTCTTCTTTAACACATATCTATAACATATAGCCAAACAAATTTTAATCCAATTTATTCTTACCAGTTATACTAACAATTTCTTTGTAAATTAACCACACTGGAATTAAAAGTGGAATTTCAGACCTGTCTGTATAGTGGCCAATATTCACTATATGGAGTGTGAAAGCCAGGAAGGCCTGTAGTGATCCTTTCCAAGATACCCTCCTAGCCCAAAGCAATTTACAGCTTGGGAACTGCTTTTGCCAGGAAGAGGAAGAAAAGGCATAAGGATTTTTGATTGTTTGTTAACATTTTAAAATATCTGTAGGTCACTTGAGCAGCAATAGTAATTGTAAATTATAATGTTGAATTTTATAAGGACAATGCTCATGGTGAGAGCTACATAAGCTTTCAAATTAGTGTAAGAAATACGCATTTTAATGGATTCTAGCCAAAGATCGCCAATATACGGTCTGGTTGCACATCAATTAATTGTTTAAAAATGGGGCTCTGCAGTGCTGTTGGTTGCTATCTTTCAGGAAAATATGAAGAACTGTGGCAATTTATGAGTCAAATACCTGAACCAGTATCTCAGAGAATAAATCAGATGCACAGCCAGAAGTCTTACTGTATCATTTCCCAGTACTGTAGCTTTGATCCTGGCACATCATAAAATTGAAGTGCATCTTTTAAAAAAAGATAAGGACCCTGCTGGGCAGCTGAACTCCACCACAACTGTTCTTTCACTCTCCCTCCTAAAAGGAAGAGGGGAGATTAATATAATTTATTGCCTATCACTAGCAGACTAGAACTGTAAGAAACTAAAAGCAAACTAAAAACACCTTCCCCCCATTCACCCTCTTCTACCTCCTCCCCCTGTGCAGTGCAGAGGAACAGGGAATGGGGGCTACATTCAGTCCCTAATGCTTCATCTTCACTTCTCCTTCTCAGTCACTCTCTGCCCCTGCCTCATGCAGGGTCCATCCGACGGGATGCCGTCCCTCCCAAACTGATCCCGCAGGGGCTGCCCACAGACAGCAGCTCTTCAAGAACTGCTCTCACATGGCTCTGTACCACGGGGTCCATCCATCCCATCCACCCCCCAGGAGCAAACTCCTCCAGCACGGGTCCCCCATGGGTGGGTGGCAGCTCCCCCTAGACCCCTGCTCCTGCATGGGCTCCTCTCCACGGGCTGCAGCTCCGGCCCGGGGCCTGCTCCTGCGGGGGCTCTCCATGGGCTGCAGTGTGGAAATCTGCTCCGTGTGGGACCCATGGGCTGTGGGGGGACAGCTTGCTCCACCAGGGCCCTCTCCTCAGGTAACAGGGAAACTTCTGCTGCATGCCTGGAGCACCTCCTGCCCTCCTTCTGCACTGACCTTGGGGTCTGCAGGGCTGGATCTCTCTTCTCTCTCCTAGCTGCTGTGTCACAACATTTTTTTTTTTTTTCCTGTTCTTCGATCTTCTCTCCCAGAGGCCCAATCACCACCACTCATGGCTCAGCTCTGACCAGCAGAGGGTCCCTTTTGGAGCCAGCTGGAGCTTACATGGGGCAGCGCCAGGCTCCGTTCACAGAGGTCAACCCCCTTCTACTGAGCCCTTGCCACGTAATCTCAAGACAGATCTAGAAATTGATTTTAAATTTACAAGAATTTATCCCTCAAACATTTTCTGTAATCTAAGCAAGACAGAACTTGATCCACAGTTTATAACTTATGTCTCAATTTTAAAAGTTCTCTGAATTAATTAATTTCTATATTTTAAATTCACACAACATGAACACATTAAAATAGTAATTCCTTTTTGAAAATTAAAGTCCAGTTTAAGCCTCTTCCAACAGGCACGCCTCATCACTACTTTGATCTTATGCATACTCCTTTCTTCACCAGATTAAATATTAACAAGAGCCTGAAATCTATTAATAAATTGCCAACACATGCTAAAATATCTGAGCCTCGGGGGCTTTATGCACTGATGAATATCAAAACAACATTCTAAGGAAATTTATCATTATAAATCTTGTTTCCTTCAAAGTTCTTTTCCTAGTCTGTTTCTAATAAGGCCACAAATCTAGCCTATTTGCATGCTCTTTTCCTTTTCCTCATCACCCATCTCTTCCTCCATCTCCTCCTAAACAAAAGTTAGAGCAGAGCAGCAGGAGTACAGGCTGTTTTCACAGTCACAAAATCAGCAGGCTGGTGATGGAGGGTTCATAACACATGAAAGGAAAATCATGTAGGAACACATACATCCAGCACAGTCATAAAGTCATAACTAATTAAGATTTCAGTGTTTGGCTTGCTAGTGAAGGAGGCTAAAACAGAAAAAGGATGCCAAAGGTCAAATGGTATCATCCTGCTTTTTTCATCAAGAGTAAAAGGAAGACTTTGAGTTGTATTTCTAGCAAACCTCAGTGGTTGTACAGAACAGGTTTCCTATATACTAACAAATTAAAGACAGTAATAAAAAATGTTTAATGCTCTTGTGTGCAATTTAAACCTATAGCTATCTAGCCCTAGGAAGTTGAATATTTATACTATTCTTCAGACTTCCACTTGGGCTTTGCAGTGGATTTTCTAGGTAACTTACATGCCAAATGACTATAAGCAACCGGAAACTGAAAAGCCAGTATGAGGGCAAATTAATAAATCATACAAAAGACAGTTTCCTGTGATGTAAATCAAAGCAGAAGATATTTTAATTAGAATTCTTAAGTAACTTATTTAGCTGGGTTTATTTGGCGTGAATTTGGTGTTGCTGTCTCTTTCAATGGTTTGATATTTCTCAGGTCTGTAGATCATTTTGTGAACCAGGAGGAAACTCTGGTCATTCAAATTCAAGGATGCAGCATGCAGATGGGATTGGAACCCAAGCATCTCCCTGATGAGTTCAGTAGCATAGAGCTGTGTTCTCTGAACAAATAAACCTCTCAATTCCAAAACAATTGACTTACACTGAAAACTGCCATGACCTCCCTGCTGTCATTTTCCAGAAGACGGAGCTGTTCTCTGAGGTGTCTTTGGAGTCTGGGATCAGGACATCCACTCTTGCGCCTTACCATTGTTAACTTCAAGGAGATATCTGGAGAAGGATATCCATTTATAGTGCTACAAGTTTGGTGATGAAGAATCAGCTTTGTAGAGCCAGAAAACCCCTCAAAAGCAGAGAATCTACATTAAGAAATATTTTTTACAGTTTCAGAGACAGACACACAGAAAATTGGGCTGCTTCACACATGGGATATTTTCTTCATTTTTATTATCCAGTAGGAATAACGATCTAGCATAAGACACGAGATTTCTCTTGGTATTATAAAAAAGGCTTCAGCTATACAAAGGATTTGATAGTCTGAAGAAAATTTCTGAAACTATCATGCTTGGGGATGTAGAAGAAAAATCAAGCAGATTGGTAATTTATCAAATCAGACAGCTCTGCAGGCATTGAGAACATGCCCAGATTTCCAAATATCCTGTGCATATTTTAAAAGTCAAAGAAAACATATTAGATAATGGCATCTCAGGAAAAGACAACCATAGTTCAGTGTGTTACAACAATGCTCAATGCTAATCATAAATTCATGGTTAGATGACACATCATCCCCACTACTTCAGAAGGCTTCTATAAATTGAATATGGGAAAAGCTCTTTCTCAGCCAAACTAGTTGAGCAGTATAAACCAAGATAAATGGCCAAACTAAAGACTCACTTACATGATTTCCTTATCACATGTGAAAGAATCTGGATACCTATGCTCAGACCTTAAAGTAGCAAATGAGAAGCTTTTACAACAGCTAGGGGTATAGTTGTTGCTAGCTCCTCTCAGATAAAGAGGATCTTCAATAAAGTTGCTTTCATTCTTCATGTCTCATCTGTTAATTTAACTCAGTAACAGTAAGTCATATTCATAAGGTTTCAGATACTTTGATAGGCACATAAGCCAATAATACCCACTCAGAAAGAATTTCGATTGCAAGCATGTATATAGGTCATGCTTCCACCAATAACTAGGGTTGTTGCGCATTCTAAAATATTCCAGCTCCTCTGAGATTCACCTCTTAATCCAGTAAAATAGATACTTTCACATTCTAAAGTGTTGCATCTTAATCCGTTTTCAGAGTGCTTTCGGTTTCTGGAGTTTTATGACTGACTTGAACCTGAATTAGCCATTACTTTAATGTCAGTAAGGGTTTCTCAGAGATGCAAAGCAGTGTTACTGAATTACAAGACCTCTGTATAGCTGTGGTCATACAGTCAACTGTAAAGCACAAAACACAAACTAAAGCCTTAGAGTGTTACTCAGATCACTTTTAGGTAAGAGCGTTGTCGATCTTTTCATTTTATTCGAAGCCATGACAGATACAAGCACAAGAAGAGACTTATTTTTTAAAAGTTTGATTAAATTATTTTACATAAATTACCTTCTAGTTAAATATTTAACTCTATAAACATGATTTAAGTCTTACATGAGTTAATAAGACTGAAATAATAAATGCGTTGAACTAAACGGACTAAAATACGTGTGCTTCTGCCAAGAGAACAAATAGTAATGGCTTATCAGAATGAAACATAGTCCAAAACCAATTGCACCTGCGGTAATCTTCCTGTCTGCCCTGATCCATACCTTTAATTAAAAACCCAAATTCTATATGGGCGAGGCAAGCATGAATAATTTCCGTACAAACCACCATATGCCAGAAGACATCCCAGTGTTGTTTCCAATTTCTTTATCTCTAGAGCAGAGTCCAGGAGACTGGGTTCAGGGGCTGCTTTACATTCAGTGAGTTAAGTCTGTCTGTATGCTTCATGCAAATACTGAAGCTAGACAGACTACAGAGGACATCAAGCACAGATATTTCTCAGATATCAACATCTCCCAAATTATCAGAGGAGTCATTGATCTGTTGGTATAAGAGCACCTAGTTTGCTTGAAGGAAGGGAGTAGAAACTCCAGAATGCTGAGGAATTCACACATTTCCGTTAAGAGACAAATCTTTTGATATCAACCAATCTGTTACTTTTCATTTTCCATAAGAAAAAAATGTGATGACACCCTCAATTCACAGAGGGGGCTAGGAGTCCACCTCAAAAGAAGCCTGTTGTGTTTCCTGAAGAACTCAACTCCAGCTTTATTAAAAATACAGCATGTTAAATTTTGAGACTTGGAAGGGCTGCAAACTTAGAAATAAAACATTTGAAGGACTGAAACCCGTACATAAAACAGTGAAGTTTTCATTTGCTTCTCTTGTTTTTATTAGCCATTCCAGTGTAGTCCATAAATAGTTTCTAGGTTTTATTGCAGTTAATAAATTACTTTTTTTTTATATGAAAAATTGTCAACAAATCATATGTAGAAATTAGGCACTTCATAGATGCCATAAAGCATGTCATAAAATTAGAGGAATGACAACTGCAAATGCTGTTGTTGTAGCTGTCTCTATTTGAAAAAGAAATGAGAAAGCATTGCATGATTGCATGATATAAAGGCATTCTTACCAGTTGGAAAATTCTCAGCTTGACTGGGAAGGGTCCTTGAACTGACATTTGTGTATTTTCCATTTTGTGGATAATCTATTATGATAAACAAATGAGCAGTTAAGTGCATTTTCAATGTCCACATAAATCATCACTTTCATTTGATGCTCTTGAGAAGTACTGGAACAAGATAAATATTTTTCCCCTTTCTGCTTTATAATTCTCCAAAAATATGAAAAGTATCTGAAGATACTTTCTCTCCTACCAGGGAGAAAGTTAAATCTTGATTTTATCTTAATGTTAAGCTTTAAGATGGAATTCTTCATCAATAGAAAATTGATGAAAAGGAAAACTGAAGTCCCATTTGGGAGGGAGCAAAAGTCAGACACCATTGTCTCTTCACTTACACCTATACTAAAAAGTGGCCTCCACAGAAGTTTCAGTAGTATAAATTGCAAATAGTATCAATGACACATACCAATGCATACACGGGGAGCAACAATCCTTCTCTTTATAATTGTTACAAATTTAACACTTGGGAGAGGGATAATGTAAAAAATAAGAGTGAACTGAAGTTTTAAGAAATTAAGACCAAAAAAAAAATTTTTTTTTGACTTATATTTCTTCTAGTCCTTTTGGAAATGGTAGGTTTTCATGCTAGAAAACACACGCCCAAGCGAGTTCTGTTTTCTCAAGGTTCCCTGAGCAAAAATCAGTGAAGCCAAGGCTTGATATTTCTGAGACTGAAAGTGGTAGGAAAAGGTCTTTCTTTTTTAAAAGAGAAAATCTGATGCAATTTTCATGTATCTTAAAAGGAGAGCAGTGGAAAATGTCTTAAGAAAATGGTTGCAATATAGTAGGATGTGGAAATATCTTCCCTTTCAGTGCTTTTGTTGATATTACATGAACAATGGCACATGACCAACTAGGAATACAGAAGCACAGAATTTTCCTACTTCAGAAATAAAACAGTACGCAGTAAAAGCATCATCTTTAAGGATAATTATTACTATACTAGCATTAGAAATTGCAGTTCCCAAGCACTTTGGATTTCGCAGGAGAGTAGGTGGTGTCATAGAATCAGAATCACAGAAATGCTTGAGATTGGAAGGGACCCCTGGACTTCCTCTGGTCCATCTCCCTGCTCAGCCAGAAGTACAAGATAACTGTCAAAACTCTAACAACATATTATAAATTTTATTATTACCCAGTAGTCAATAAAGGCAATTAATTAATAGATGTTTCTGGTATGTGAAATAGGCATTACTGTTATTTCGATAGTATCAGATACAGATTTTTCTTGAAAGGTATTTGCTGAGATGTTAATACCCAGCAGGTAATGTTGGATTCTGATAATTTTCATCTCAGCTAATTTTAACTAACATAGAGTTTCTATGTAGATCATTTAGTTTGCCAACCTATGCAGCATTGCTATGGAGGAAATACAGCTGTTCGCCTTGTACTGTAGATGTAGGTCAGAAAAAAGCTCAGTGGAAAAACAACAGCTCTCTGCTAGCACACTGCAAGCATTGTTTTTGTTAAAAGACAAACAAACAAAAAACAACAACAAACAACAACAACCAAAAAAAACCAACACTCATTTACCATTCCCTCCAAACAATCAAAAAACCCAACAACAATAATAAATGCAAAGGTAAGTCAAGAGCAAAGTGATCAGAATGTATTGATAGAGGTCTTACCCATTCGTTCTTGCAGCGTGTCTGTCTTGTCTCCATCCCTGGCAGTGCTCATGGCAGCACTGGCTGACTCACATTCCCAGCTAGGCACGCACATACCCTGCTCTGTTTCATTCCTTTCCAAGTTACTGCCTTGCTTTCCCTCTGAAGTAGGAGCAGAGGTTCCCTCCTCCATGGTGCCATCAGAGCTGGGCACAGACATGCCACCTCCTGCTGCCAAACTTGCCATCATTTGCAGTGCCTCACAGTGACATGATTAACATTACATGTATCAATGATCTGAGAGAAAAATAAAATAAAATTATGTATTTTAAAAAAAATCTCAGAATACACACACATATGCAAGAGCTGTCCCTCTTCTGTGGGAGTTATTTTTAATTGTATGTTAAAGTATTTAATTGTAATGTTAAAGTATTATTTCACAACCCACCAGGATTGGAGACCCAAGTCATGGAGGACAGAAAAGAGAATAAAGAAAGGAACATAATGGAGAAAAAGCAATTACTATGACAACACTAAGATGTTGTTGCTTTGTCACAGGGACAATTGACCTGTGATCAGCTGTACAACGTGACAGGAAGGGAAGAAGCTGTTGGAAACACAGCAGCAGGCAGGGAAAGCACTCAGAGCTATTCTGCTGCTGCTTGAATCTGAAGATACAAATAGGGGTGGGAAGAAGAAAGGAGTGCTTCCCCAGGCTGGGTGTTGGGATACACTCTATGAAAGATATCCAAGTTCCATGTGTGAGCAATCTGAAATACTCTAGAAACTTCTCCAGAAACTACGCTGGAAACAGTGACGAAACATCCTCATTGTCATACCTTAACCCTAGTCCTGGGCAAGGCACTTTACCTAATGAACACCTCACTCCCTCAGTGCACATCTCGAAAAAAGAGGAAATCAAGTTTACTACATACTTTTGGGGACAGGGTGTCTGAAATCCACTAGTGTTTGTAATTTCCCTTTTGAAAACACTGCTTGTCACTGTCTGACTTTTGCTTTAGACTTCTTTCAGACAGAACTGGTACATAACACCCAAACTCATCCCAGAAAAAGCTCCTGCAGTCAGGTGTCATTGCTGCTTTAGTGACAAAGCACTCAGTAGATTTGACTAATAGCAACACTCCAAGGCCTGAAGTGAAACATATTTGTGTCCACTGCTAATTATTTGTTCCTGGCCAGCTCTAAGGCAGAGCCTCCAAGGTATTGCATCATTAGTATTAACATAGGCAATGCAGGGGAAAACATTTTCTGAAGGTGACAAGGATGGAACTGGTACTGCATGCTTAATTGCAACAAGCAGGCAAAGTTTTATACATCCAGTTAAAGAATGAATCCTCTGGAGGAACCCCCAGTGCTGGAAGACTGGTATAAAAGCATCCAAATATGTCTTTGCAGTAAAGCAGCAGAGATCCACTGAAGCTTGAGGCTGTTGGCAGCAATACTGTTACTGGCATGAACATCAGGAAAAAGCAATATAAATAGAAGTAGAGCACGAGTAGTTGCAAGCTTCATTGCTCCCTTTACAGGTTGCCAACTTGAGATGTACCCATGAAATGGGATCTTCAGGACAAGCTAGTTCAGTTTCAAAAGCCAGTTTTAAAGGTTGGACTAAACAATCTTCAAGGTCTTTTCCAACTGAACGATTCTATGATTCTGTGTAAAAAGTGGAACAGACATCATCTCCAGTGCATCTGCAAAGGATGCAGCTCATGTAGCCAGTACGTCCCACTGATATTTAGACCCACTTCCTCAGTGGGTTCTCACAGGCCTCTTTAATTGGTTCCATAAAGCCACAGGATAGATTTTTCCCTTAGTTCTGTCACTCGGACTTGAACCCAAATTCCTCTGTGCTTACTCCAGCCATGCTCATTAACAAGCTACTATCACTGTAAGTATATCAAACTTGTAATCTTTGTGAAATTTCCTCTGCTGCTTCTTTTCCAGAAGAAATTGGTTAAAAATGAAGCTGTAGATGAAAGATTGCTTTTGCTCTTCCAAAGCCTCAGACTAGTGCCCAGTAACCCTAGTGTCCCTTTATGATCTGTCTTCAGAATTGTCTGAAAATCTCTCTCTTCTCTATTGTAGTGGGTTTATGTGGGCAGGAGGGGTGGAGATGAAGTGCTATAGACTGACTGCATCCCCCATTCACTGCTCCCCTACTCTGCTCAGGAGGAGAAGGTGTAGAAGAGGGTGGATGGGGGGAAGGTGTTTTTAAGTTTGTTTTCCTTGTTTCTTACTTCTCTAGCTTGTTAATGTGTTGGGTCTGTCTGAGCTGGAGTCACCTTTTCCCTGCAGCAGCCCATGCAGAGCACAGCACTGTACTTGTAGCTGGAACAGCACTGATATCACTCCAGTGTTGTGTCTGCTGCTGCATAGTGCTGGCACAGCATCAGGTCTCCTTCCAAGCCCCCAGGAGCCAGCAGGCTGGGGGTGGGCAAGTGATGGGGAGGGGACATCGCCAGGGCAGCTGACCTAAACCAACCAAAGGGATATTCCACACCTGATGTCACACTCAGCAATAAAAAGGGGGGCTCTCGTGGGGGAGGGGGCTGTTCCTCCTGAACAACCACTACACATTTTGAGGCCCTGCTTCCCACAACATGGCTGAACATCACTTGTTGATGGGAAGTAGAGAATAATTTGTTCCCTTCTCTCTGTGCTTCCATGCGGACTTACTGTTTCTGTTGTTTGTTTTTCTCCCCTTTCCCTTTAATTAAACCTTTCTCATCTCAAACCTCGAGTTCTCTGTGTTGTATTTTCTCCCCCTTCCTCTTTGAGGAGAGGGGGAGTGAGAGAGTGGTTGTGGTGGAGCTTGGCTGCCCACCTGAGTAAAGCCACCACAGCTAGTAATAAGCAATGAATTTCTCTAATCTCCCTACATGGAGTCTGTTTTGCTCATTATGGTAATTGTTGAGTCATCTCCCTGCCCTTACCTCAACCCTTGAGCCCTCTTCATTGTATTTTCTCCCCCTTTCCCTTTGAGGAGGGGGAATGAGAGAGTGGTTGTGGTGAGGCTCAGCTGCCCACCTGAGTAAAACCACCACATCTGTTCACTATGAAATGGGGAATCTTAAAGCACGTTGTTCCAGCTTGCCCTTTCGCATAAACACTTTCCAGCACTTTGCTCCGTAACAAGCCTCATGTCATAGGTCCTAAGCAAACTGATGGCCATCGTGACCAGTGGCACCAGCCCCTAGCTGCCTGCTGTAGTGGGCAGATACACAGGACAAGGCAGCAATCTGTTTGCACAACCTCCATACTGTTTTGCAGTCATGAGAACTTTAGCCCACAGAGCACTTGAATAAACAGTAAAATATGTATAGACAGAAGAATGTTACACAATGATAACAAATTAACAAGGTATACGTGCAGGTAGTATCATCAACTGAGAGAATTAAACCACATAAATTGATGAAGCATAAAGAGATTAGGATGAACATTGTTTTAATATTTTTGTTGTCCCCTTTCACTATTTATTTATTTTTTTTAAGTGCCTGTCAGAGTGGCAAGGCCGATTTTCAGAAGACCGTGCTGTAGCTCTGTGGTTCTCACCATGAAGTTATATCTTATATACACTTACAAAACAGACAAAAACTCAAAACTCAATGTATCTTAGTAATTTCTCCTAAGAGTATTTCTACTAATATATCTAGGTAACGTTGCAGTTCTTACTTCTGATCTCACTTTCTCTAACTCTCTTGTAAAACTTTGTATCTGTCCTTATGATCTAATTATAAATAATTAAAAATGCAGGCTTGCAGAGCCTGAACTCACATTACTAGAGATATGCTTATCCATTTATATAGCTGGTCTATTCCTTAGAGTAATGGCAGTAGCTAACACCATTCCTTTTCGTATTGTACCATGATCATATGCATTTTTTCCACACTTATGAATTAAACACTTCTGTATGTCTTCTATGTGTGGTGTCTCATGAAGAAATACTGTGATATTAAGGATAACTAAATTCCATATGTAGTTTAAAATATACTGTTCTATGAATCTCATAGCCAGTTCTTATTTTTAGATCAGATTATCCTTAATCCCAGAAGTGAAATTCAATATTCAGAATCTTAATATTTTCCATCATCTGCTATTACAAGCAGAAATATCTTCCTTTAAAAGTTTTACCAAAAATCATAATGGAACTTGTATTCTTAGAATTCAGTTGAGGTAGAGAACAGATATAGATTAAATCTTCCTATCTTCTGCATGAGTGCCTGCCTGTTGGTAAGGGTAACATATATAAACAGGATTATGAACGAACCTATAGAGCATGGTGCTGCAAAAACAAGAACAAGTGGGACTTAGAATGAGTCAAGATAAATATGATCTATTTAAGAAGCCATAGTATCTAAGAGCCTAAGGCAAGGAACAAATCTGGATGGGGGAAATAAAAGTCAAAGTGATAAATTCTCAATATTTTCTCTTTTCCAAAATACACAGAATTAAAATTAAGATCTCAAAAACCTTTGACAGCCATGCTCAGCTCTGCAGTTTTCTTTCCCATCTTTAATGTTTACCTTAAAGTGTTAGCCTATGTAGCTATATACAAGCACTGAGGCACTGAGAACAAGACTGTAAATCATTTCCCTGCAGGTAGGCACCTTGTCTACCTAGGCACTTCAGAATGCCTTTTTTTAAAAACAAACAAAAAACAAAAACAAAAACAAAAACACACACCTAAACACATCTCAAGGGATACAAGTTTCAACCCAAGTGACAAATCTTTCACTGAATTTTGCATCACGTCTGTTCTTTTACTGTTCACCTTTGAATATCAGGTACCCCAAGGAGCAAAACTGTAACATAAAAACAATGCTAAGGTATGTCAGCATCTTTATTGTGCTTGGTGTTTTCTCATCTATTATCAAATAGTTCCAATACACATTAAAACAGATTCAGAAGCACCGAAGCAGAGGAAAACTTTTAATTACTATAAGATTTAATAAATATTAACCTTCAGTGCTTGAATCACTCAAAAATATTTCATAAACATATAATCCCAATTTCTACTACTGTATTTACTAGAAACTAGCTATTCAGTGATAGCAACAGTTACAAGATAATGAAGAAGTGGAGTAAAGATTTGTTCTAATATCTTGATGACGAACTTTGTCTTTTAAAGCTAGTTCTGTATTTGTGTGCACTGACAAAACATTTTACTTATATCTCATGTACTTTGAGGCTCAACCAATAAATTAATATTTGGTGTAGGATGCTGTCCAAAAAAGCCAGTGATCTTCCCATTTTTTGAAACCAACCTCTGTTCAAAAGCCACACACACAAGAGGTGTGCAATTTCCCTCTGTTGCTGCTTCCTTTTCATTGAGTGCCTGTATCTGTTTTCAAAACACAGATACAGAAGAAAAAACACATAGCTTGATATTTTCCACTACCCTGACTATGAAGGTGGAGGTTTTTTTTTTCCCCTCTGGTTTTTGGTGTTGTTTTAAGAGGAGTTGTGGATGATAGGAACATTAATTTTCACTTCAATTCATTTCTTCCAATTAAAGAGGGTTGAAAAAGAAAACTAATAACATATGCTGAACAGGTTCTGTCTATATCTTTAAAGATGTATTTTTAAGTCTGAGAAAGGTGCCCAGTATATAAAATAGGTTGTATTTTAACTAGTTGCCAAAAAACTGCATGCAACACAATATTTCACTTATTTTCCCTCTGGGAGGCTTAGGACAATTTAATAGTTTTACAGAGATGGGAATAGAGACAGAGATTATTTGTAGTCATGCAGGAGTGCTATAGAGATGCTGGAGAAATTGCCAGAGTCCAGAAGTAAATGTATAGTTCAATTAGTTTATCCAAGGGGATAATTCGTACGTATTGGGAATGTTGCTGTGATTGCTCCTTTCATGCATTAATTCCTATCTTTAAGGCAAATGAGCAACTGCTACTTTCTTTCCCTCCTCATCTCAGCTCACCTGCGCCCCTCCTGGAACATGGGCAACTCTTCTATATTGAAGTCTCCAGCCTCTTCTGTACCCAATACAACAGAGCACTGGTAGCCCCCAAATTTTTACTCATCTTGTGGTGTGTTGCATTCCTCAGGGGCTCCAAACCAAGAAAGGCTACTAACAAAACCTGTGTTACACCTTCATTTGAAGCACATTTGCCTGTATTCTTGATCTTGTGCTCTGCAGTCTGCACAAGATCAAGACCATTCAAATGGTCAGATCCAAAGTTAAACTAAATGATTTTCCCAAACTGATGCTAGATTATTTTCTTATTCTTTCTTCCACGTTTCTCTCAACTCACGTTTGCTTCGCATCTTCTCTATTAGGCTAGAAACATCTTACTACAAAGACTATTACAGACTTTGTACTTAGAATAAATCACAGCCTTGGTCCTCATGTAAGTCAGTCGTGGGCATGAATTAAAAAAATAATAATAATCCATACTATGTACTACATAAGCAAAAATTAAAACAGTGAGTTCTTTTCCTTCAGTCCTACTATGTATTACACAGAAATGTAAAGCAAATCTGTAATCAAGTTACACGGATTTAGACATCTGAGCACTCTCCAAAAATGTAAGACAGACTCCTTTATCACTGAAGTTACTTCAGTGAAGTAACTAGGTTAGTTATCAATTCTTAGTAAGCTATGTTGCAAGCAGTATTATTTCTCATGTTTAGTCTACAAACAAAAAAAGACCCAGCTTCAAATCTGAAAGGTGCGATAGATTTCTTCAGAAGTTTTAAACCCCTCATGATTCATTTTTCTTCATACCTTTGTAGCACTGAAATATTCTTTCCACTCAGAGTTTAGCTTTGAATGCACAATAAGTTCAAATCTTCCAAGTTTTGACACTGAGATTTGTAGACTCAAATCTAGGATTGCATAGCTGGTTAAAAATACACAAGTTTTATGGGTGCTTCAAAAGAAAATCAGATCACCACTAGAAAACTATAAAAGGTATCTGTGAATCTCAACACTTCGTTTTATGTGTTAGATCTGACAGTTTGGCCTCTGGCAGCTAACGCAGCAGAATGAAGTAGGAGGAATGCTCTTGTCACAGAATAACTCACACAACACTGCCCAGAACAGCTTCTCAAACCACAACAGATCACATTCACACATTTTCCAGTACATTATTGGTACATAAAAGTATTAAACTACTAAAGTTGTCCCCCCCTTAACTGGCTGCAATTCTAACATGCTAACGATAAACCTGGAGTCAGATGCTAGACCTCAAGTACCTAAATAATGGTGAGAGGCAAAGGTACAGACACAGAGCACTAGTTTCCTACCTTTTCCACGTAGGACTTGCTGCAACATGCCAGTAAACAGCAGGCAGATCTGTGCCTTCCTCCGCTCTGGTCAGAACTGACTCCAGCACAGCTCTTCCTGTTTGACCTTCTTATCTTTCCTGTTGATTGCACAGCCAGGCCGGGATGTGGTATGTACAATAAGTTGTCTATTAACTGATACTGTTAATTGAAAAGCTTTTTTTAGGGGAAAAAAACATTCACAAGCATGGAGTCGAGCTACTGAAGTTTAGTATACAAAGCAGAAATGTATCAAATGTGCTGGAATTCATTTATTCCTGCTTTTCAAAGCAATAATTCATTTTGTCATTTTGCATTAGCTACTAAAAGGTTTCATGGGACATATCCAGGCCATTGTGCTAAGTAAGCATGTTCAGTCAAAGTAACAAATAGACCTTCAGATGAAGCACCAGGCTTCGTTTCCCCTTTGCTTTTGATCACAGAATTAGATTTCTTGCTATCATTATGGCTACAGAAAGCCTCATGAAGAATTATTTGACAGTGAACTCACTCTGATACACTTGGTTTTAAATTGCAAAGTGTAGGGCTTTGCAGCTGAATCATGCAATCTGCAGCCACATAGCATTACATAAGTTTTGGAAGTTAAGGAATACATACACAAGACTTTATCAATGATTCAGATGCCACAGCCTAAAGAAATGACCCATAAAGGCAAAGGAATAAGAATCCATCCCACTTCAAATTTGTTGGCTTTTTGTCCTCTGCAATAAGATGAAGATGACTTTGTTTTTATCTTCTCTTTCTGCCTAAACAGTGAATATTCCACACACAGCCACCTTGCTGGTAAGCACTATGTACCCCTAAATGCCAGTGGTGCGGGCTGTCCTCAGCATTGCAGCAGGCACTAAATGAGAACAGAACAAAGAGAGGACGTCTGCCCCAAAGTCCATGTATCTGGCATCTCAGACATCCCCAGACAGCAAAATCACAATGCACATTTGAGTTGCTTCTTGACTTTATAAAGTAGTGATTAATTACAAATCACACTCTTGTTTACCTTACTTCAGCCAGTCATACTATATTAACATGAATTGTAAATACTACTTCACGCAGATTAGCCAATCTGTTCCCACAGTATGTTTGGGAACACTCCATCCTTCAAGATACTATAAATTTTGAATTCTTTTCAAGTGAGTGTATAAATCACACCTAACCAACCATCCCACAGGGCTTCTCTCCCATTGGAATCTATTTGATATTGCTCCATGACACAGTACACAAAGCTGTGTTCTAGTGCCACTTCATTTTTAATTTATAAATTAGCTGTGCCCACAGTATGAAATACCATATTTATAGAAAATTAGTTGTTTGTAAAATGGTGATATAACTTTTATAAATGTCTAAATCTTTTTAGCACATTTATTTTGTTTGTATACTAAAGGATAACCTTTCATCACATTATAAGCTCAGATCTTTGCTGGTATTCCTTCCCCCCCCCCCCCCCCCCCCAATGTGAACCTAAAATAATCTTGAGAAAAATAAAAATAAATCTAAACCTATTTTCCTCCATGATTACCAACCTTCAATCTTCTGTTTCTATGCCCCAGTCACTGCAGAATCCATACACACATACCATTGATTCGTGCATCCCTAAAATCTCAAAAAGTACAAACAATTGTTTTAGAGAAGTGAAATCAGGAGAGACATATCTTGCTTAAGGAACCAAGTTACAAAATATCAGCTGAACTCACAGTTCCTTAACTTCCTTTTCAGTACCTTCTTCAGCTGTCCTCTATGATTTTACTCCAAAGTGCATTTCATCATGCCATGTTTAGTTTCATGGGGATGTCTACTTCCATGTAGTTTAAGTGGAAGCAAGAAAACAAAGTTTTCAACCTCAGGGCAATGCTCTCTTGTCTTTTTAAAAGAGTACCAATCCACATCACAGAGATTTTATTCAGCATTACTGAAGTTGTGAACAGCTGCTCCCATCAAATAACTCTAGAGACCAATATACTGTAGCAAACAGGAAGAAGACAAAGTTAGCAGGGTGGTTTCCGTATTAGTAATCACATCCACTGGACTACATTTTAATCACAAAAATTTGCTATGTGTGAGTTGTGCCACCTGCTCAGGTTTCCTTATGTGAAAGAGCAGGCTTCAGAATCCATCTTGTTTAACTATAAAGATTACAAGCAGACTTAACAGCCTGTTTACATGTGGTTGTCCCTGAGCTTTTCAGAATCATTAAAAGAAGCTGCCAGGAGGACATTGCGTGTTGAAACAAGAAACTTCCTCTAATTGTCTCTCTCTGTCATTGTTTTTCATTATCCTGTTTGTCTGCCCTTCTGCAGCTGCATATTTGTCCAGCAGCTTTTCATTAGAGCAGCTTGCATTGGGAAAAACAACACATTTTAATATTCAGGCCAGGCTACACCTTCTATTCTAACTACTCTTCTATCACAGTTAGAGATATACCTATGAAAGCATATTTTAGCCTGCTACCAAAGGGACCAACTTTAATGCTTAAGCGCATTGAAATGTAACTTATTTGGAACCCTTATTAACTTGCAGCAAATAACAGATTTAGGCAAGAAGGGGTCTTTCTACCTGTTTACTAAATTCCTGCTAGATAATCTTTCATCTCAAGCCCACTAAGTGTTACAAAGCCTATTTACCCTTGCTGAATCCTATAATAAAAGATCCTCTTCTGTTTAATGTTTTGCTCAAATTAACATTCATCACTTCAGCTGGCATGACAAACTTGAAGTCATGCAAGTTGCTGCTTTTTTGGCTGAATTATTCTCTTTGTTTTATTTCATCCAGCAGTTGAGATATATTTACAAAACAAACAAAAGCAATGCAATACAATCTGAACTGTCAATTTAAGAGAAATACCAATCGAGCACACAGATGTAAAATCTGTACAGCTCGGAATGTGAGCCTACAGTAGCAACCTTTTATTTAAGAAACTTGCCTAAATAATTATATATATTTTTAACAAGCTAACGTGCACCTTGTGTCAATGTTTCAATATTACAGCTGCATAAAACTTCCTTATAAATAGGTTTAGCCATATGTTTCCTTTTGATTAGCGTGTTATCTCTCCACAGTGACTGCACATACAGTTAGGTAAAGAGTTAAAGTGTTTTCTCCCAGAGTTCTGTCATCTTTTCCCCTGCCTGGTTGGAACCCAGATAGCTTTACTTCCCCCAGGTCTTGGAAAAAACACCACCCCAGCTCCACAGGCTAGGTTAGAAAGGAAAAACAGAAAACATGAAAAGAAAAATATACTCCCATCCATCTGTAAGGAAATGCCGTCGCCTTGTAGTCTGCAGGAAAATGCTGAGTCAAAACATCCAGCTGTTACACTGCTTCAACACTGTTCCTTAGCTATTTACCTAGTGCACTAAATAACAGCTAAGTTTACTTACAATTATCACACATTAATAATAGTTTCTATTAAGCTCGTTATCCCTCAACAAACCACAACATGGTACACTCCTGACAAAACTTCCTCCTAAGTTTAGCAGCTCCTGAGAACCACTGTTAGTTGCTTGAGGACATTTTTGGCCACAGACCAAAAAGTCAACAAGCTCATACCAGTGAAAACATTTGGGCTCGTATCCCAGTCCAGGCAGGCAAGAAGGTCATGATAGGACTCCCTGTTCTGTTTCAGCCATGACACAGATTTCAGGTCTCTCACGTATTAGAGAAAAAGAAACCTTCTAGAATAGTTTCATCATCTCACAATAAAAAAATAGTATTTCACACTTACCACTCAGAAGATTTATCATTTCCTTCCTTCTGTATCACCAAGATTTATTTTCTGACCCACAGCCTTAACAACCTCCCATAATCAGGTACACACTTTGGATTCACACATACCACAGACAGCTTATACTTCTTCATGACCCCCAAACCAAAAGCAGTCAGGGTTTGTATTCACAAGCTCCAGTACAGGGAACAAGCTTTCTCTATTTTATTATTAAAGCTGTTAAACAAAATTGGATTCCATATATCTTTCCTTAGCCACTGCAATTAACAAACCACGTAGAAATTCAGGTCTCTAAAAAGCAGAAAAAAGCCTTAAGAATTTAGGAAATGTATTTTGACATAGAGGCAATAGTACTGCTCTTCCACAAACATACAGCTATTAAAAAGAGGAAGGTGAAATAGAATTATCTAAACTTAGTTCAATTTATACTTTAATTGCCACCACCACCCCTCCATAACCTAAAGAGACACCTTTTAAAGCATTTTGGGCAACTTAAAGGAAAATGAGCACTTCCTTTCATAACCAGGTGAATTAATTTTTTTCATTAAAGGTTGACTTATCCAGCTGCTTAAAGTTTTCAGGGAGAAATAAGAGTTTATTCTTAAGGACAAATTTGTAACCTTCCTGTGGATTTCCAAGGAAAGCTAATATGATAATATGTTATCTACTCTGCTCAAATGAATGTAATGCTTCTTTTCCTTTGAAGAAATTTCTTCTTTTTCGCTGAGCGAGTTTCTTATTTATATTGTCAGTTTTCCATCTAGTTTTTAAAACAGAAAACTATTTCAGTATATCTGAACATGTTTATTTTGAGGACTTAAAACCAGACTGGAGTAGGAGGCCATGACTTCTACTATACACTGAAATCTGCAGTACTGAAATTTCAGCAGTCTGTTAGGATTAGTGCTGGAAAATACAGTGTGAAGGAACTGTACTTATTGGAACCTGAATATACATGGAATACAGATATTTCATAAGCTAATTTTGGTATTGAGGAAGGAAATTTTGACTTAGGCATCCAAAGTGGAGGAAACTGCTATATATAAATATATATTTCAATTTAGACTCAGTAGAACAAAGGTTTGCTTTCGTCTCTGCTGATGCTCTGTGAAAGGATATGCCTGAAGGAATACCTGGAGGATCAAAACAATAGATAGCCACCAGATTAGAAATTATCATAAAACTGTGATTTATCATCATGTCATCTTTGTGCCACACAAAGTTAGTGTAGGTAGCTTCCGTGATCAATGAAATGAATACTGGTGGTAGGTGTGCCATATAAGGATTTTACTTTTGATAAATATAGAGTAAAATATTATTTTCTTATATTTTGGGATTAATGCCTCCAGTCCCTGAAATGTCTAAAAGATAGAAAATCTTATATTGATAGCTTTGACTTTAACAAATGACCATAAATTCCTGCACTCGTATAAAACTAGCAGAGAAAACGGGGGTTTTTCCAAATTACTGCTGCCCTCTAGTTGAGACCTGAAGAAGGGCTCGTGTGTTCAAGCGTCCAGTGTTTGCAGTTCCGTCTGTAGCTACTAGATCTCAGCTTCTCCTAGGAGCACCTTTCCTCTTTTATGTATCTCTATTGAACGGTTGTCTAAAGACACCAAGACTAAGAATATGAAATGATGGCAATAAACATAACGAGCCCAACACTTTCTGCTACTTAAGTGTCCAGCCTTGGCATGCTTCATGCAATATTTCTTAGAAAAAGAATAAAATAGTTAAAAGATACAGTGAAATCATCAGTCTTGTGAGATATGTGGAAAGATTTTCTATTTAATAAAGAATATCAGAGGCACAGTGGAGGATTTTTCAATAAGGATCTGAAAATCACTGGAACTCAAAATGCTTCCTATTTGAATTTCAGCTTTTGAACCATCTTACAATTCCATTTATGAACTTTTGATTACGTGAAATACAATTTACACAAATTTAAAGCTTTTAGTTTTGAGACTGGAGGTGCTTTATTTTTATTTCTGTTAGTGCCAACAGAAACTGTAATTATGTGAAGGTGTGACTGGGGAGGGGACATGCTATAAAGATATTTTTACTACATTTAAGGGCATGCAACTAAAAAGAAAAATTATAACTAGCCTTGTCACTTGCTGGGTACACTGCATTAAATGCACAGTATGTGTCTTATGTCTATACATTATATTCAGTAATGATCCATTTTTCACCATTTTGATCCATTTTGGAGAAGTAAAAATAAAAAAAAATAAATAATCATTTATTCCTTATTTTCTAGGTGACTTCTCTGCATACATTATCCACAAGCCTCAGCCACCTTTAACTTTTCTTTTAGGTAGGCTTGGCCCAAGCCATTACATAAAAACTAGGGCCTTTGACTGGTATCGTTAAGCCTGGAAAGCAAGAGACAGCTTTAATGCAGTTGAGGACATCCACAGAACTGTTTAGTCACAGCTGCATTTTCCTGGGGTCTGATGCTTTCCAAACCAGGTATATTCCCTGGCAGAGTGAGGCAAAACTTCTATAAACTGTCATGAATCTCAGGCAAGGCCTTGTTCGCAGATGGTGCTACGTGAAAATTTTGTCACCTAGTAAGAGTCTAAGTTCTGCTAACACAGTACAGTATTTTTTTTTTAGATTACAACAGTGTTAGAGATGCAATGCGGGGCAAGCAACAGCAAATCCGCATATATCAGCTTGTTCTGCAGAGTACAGAGTTAAACTGACTCAGGGACAGTGGGCTATAATATCAGCTACTTGAAGTGAGAAGTTGCAGCTTCACAAAAGCGGTAATTTTCCAAGGAGTCACATCTGCAAGAGATCACACTGTGCTTAATAAGTGCTAACCTCTCTGCAACAGGCACAAAGGGGATAGTATTAGAGTTCAAGCTTGTTTACTACAGAAAGCACATTATTTACAAATTTACAGACAGGGGTACTGGTTTCACTAGCTACATAAACTGTGTAACATTGCACTGGAATCCTTGAAAGCTTCATCTGCTGTTCTCAAATTCAAGTTAAATTTTTGCCAATGTTTTTGCACGTGTAGTTGTGACTTTTATATTATTCACGCCTTATCTTGGCTCTTCCCCAAATCATTTTCTGTATTTATATTTCTGCACAACTCATTTCTATAACTTCTGTGGTTGTCATTCTTGGATATAAATTATATAGCATTACCTGCTAGACTTCCTGTCATATGCAGAAGTCTCCAATATTAAAATTTATTTGTTCTGACCAACTTTCCAAAAGCTGACTGCTGACATGAGAGAACAGTCCCTGATTGTCTCATTGTAACAGAGAATTCTTTCATCCTCAGCCATTGTTCCCTTTGATGTTATTCCATTCTTTCTGTTTTCAAAGTTTGCCTTGAAGTTGTATTTGACCTACTGATCATAATGCATTTAGGTTTGTAATGGGTAATTGATGCCTAAGTTGAAACTGCTGATGTAATATTTATATTCTGCCCACGGTGTAAGAGGAGCTGTACATAAAAGTTGTTACAGACATCTTGGTATTGCAATACAGACATCTCCATATAGTGCTCTGTTGTTATTTCATTACAGCTTCTCCACACTAATTCATTAGTTATAAACATGTGTACCTCTGGCTTAGTAAATAGCTGGCAATTTATTTTCATATCCTGAATCTCATTTTAAGATCTCTCGGCCTGTTATTCTTTGTAGACTTCAGACTTGACTTACATCTTGTTTACTATCAATGCCAAAGCAACACATGACAAACCCAGGAACATGGTGGAGAAGTACCCAGTGTCACAGGCACCAACACATTGCAAACACAAGCCTGGCCCATTTTGGCAGCTGTCCCAGAACCAGCAATTCCCTGATGTAGTAGCCTGAATATAGTAGCCTGAATGTTGAACAAGCCATAACTCGAACTGGGAGTAATAGGAAAATTAGAAATTTCTGGAACGAAATTGAGGGACAACTTGTCATTTAAAACATAAGCTCTTCAAAATAAATTAGTATGGATTGCAAGATCACTTTTCATCTTACAGGAGATCTAATAGTTGTCAAAAGACAGCAACTTGGAGTAAACACGATCCTAATTATTAGATTTAAGTTGACAAAGTAAAGAAATGCCAAAGTTTCTTGGCAGATTAAGCTCAGTTTTCAGGACTACCTCATAGACTTAAATGGTAAAAAATACAGAGATGCACAGTAGATTATTTTTTTCTGATTTGTTTATGATAAGTTTAGGTCATTTTAATAGGAATTTGTGCAACTAATAGTATAACTGCCACAAACTGACTAATTTTTTTTTTTTTTTTAAAGTTTTGCTCTAGGTTACCCTGAATATCCTGTGGTACTATCTCCGCTTTGAACGTGAAGCCAAGGGCCAACTTCTTATCCTTCATCAGGTATTTGAAATTGTGATCTCCTATATTGTGGACAAGAATGTAAATCACTTCTAATATCTGGCTGGGTGAATGGTTTTTCACAAGGGAGTGTTTTTTCGTTCCACATGCAGAGCAGCAAGTTCCTGTAGATTGACCTTCCATCATTGGGATGCTTTTAAAATATGACCCCTTTCTTACTATACTGGCAATGACCTAAAAAAACTTTGCAGACAAACGATTAACTAAAAGTAATAATTTTATTGATTTTATTGCACTGAGGAGCCTATGGCTTCCCCATTGTTGGGAAAAACAAACAAACAAACAAACAAAAAAAACAGTCTTTTTTTGTTTGCTTCAACTGGACTTGCCCAATAAAAATTCTGAATAAAAATATTGTATGGCAGCCTTACTGAGAAACTGAATTTTAAAATGCTAGTATTATTAATTGAATACAACACCTATTGAACACTCTGAATTTTAAGAAAAATAAAAAAGAAAAAGTGAAGAAAGAGAAATATAAGCAATGTTCTTAACTTCACTTAAATATACAGAAAAAAAAATATGGGGCAGCTTCTGCGAGAATGTATATTTTGTCAGTCCATAAATCTGCAGTGTACTTAAGATACAGAGGCATACACAAGAACAAGAACATAAACATTGTCAAGTGTAACGCTAGTATCTATTCATGAATATATGCTATATTGATTGTTCTATTTTATATTTAAAGTGTTCACTCCTTTTTCCTTTACATGAAGCCATACATAATTTCAAGTCAAGCACACCACAATATCACAGAACTTGCCTGGCAGTAAGAACCTGACTATATCCATCTGTTTTCTGGAAGCAGAGAAAATGAAATGTGGGATGTATTCTTTTATTTGTCATGGATTCATTTCTGATATTTGGGGTGGTTAGCAATTCAACAGAAAGCAAAGATTTTTATTCCAATAGAACTAATGTAATAGAAGATGTATGAATATAAGTAAGAAACACACAGTTTAAATACCCAGGTACAGTAAAATGCAATGTAAGTTCTTAGAATCATGGAATGGTTTACATTGGAAGGGACCTGTAAAATTGTCTAG